CAAGAAATAGAATTCTGTTGTTTCTTAGACTTTGAATAGTTAAGTTGGATAATTTTGGAGGAAGTATATCATATATTCTTTTGTAGTTTGTAAAAGTTTCTGATGATGGTAGAAAGTTAGACAGTGAGATGTTGTGTTTTGCAAGTTGGCAAATATGAAAAATTAGTATGAAGTTTTGTGTTTTGCGATAGTGTGTATTGAGTATATCTGTTGTAAGCTTTGGCTGCCAAATTTTGAGAAACCAGGCCTTAGTTTGTAAGGTGCCAATGGTGTTAAGTAGAGGTGTAGAGTTTACTTATATTATTATTTGATATATATATTATAATTAGAAGTTTTTTTATTTTGACTAAGCCTTGAAAGAAAATAAAAGAAATGGAATTTATAAGCCAGTAAAACAAATAATAGCCTAAGTTAAAAAATTATTAAAGATTATGTTTTATTCTAAAATAGCAAACCCATGCCAAAAATTAAATATATAACAAATGTGTAAAGATGTGTAGAAATAAGTAAAATTGAAAAAAATGATGTGTCTAAAGTGAATTGCTGTTTTTTCACACAAGTGAAAAGAAGCTATAACATTTAGAACTTTGAAAGAAAACAGAGATTCAAAAAATTTGTGAATAATATATATGCTAAAAAAGTAAAAATTTTTAATAAATAAGTATGTTAAATTTGTAATTGCTACAAAATAAAGTTTTTTTTGTTTAAAATAACACTTTTTGATTTATACAGCATCTTATATGATTTTGTAATACAAAAATATATTTATAACATTTATAAATAAAATCAAATTAAAATGAAATAATAATGTTAAATAGACAAGCCATCAAAAAATGCAAATTTTTGAGATGCATTTTTTTAGCATTTTTTTAAAGTTAGGATTAGTGTTTAGGGTATAATCTATCATAAACAAGTATAAATCAATTTTAGAGTCAAATAGGAATCCCTCGTTTCATTTTAATCCGATTTCATTATAACTGAGTGCATTTTATATACGTATATAATAACTCTACAAATTTTTACCCCAAGTTTGTATATAAAATTAATGCCGATCACTCGATCACTCATGAATCAGGACTTTACTTTATTATTAAAATTAAACTTTGGCCATCTTAAATTTTTTTGCCAAAATTATTTGAAATTAGTATAATTCTGACCAAAATTATATAAAAAATTTTCATGAAATGTTTGGTTTATGTTCTAACATCTATATTATCCAATTACATTGTTATTTTTGTATAAAGTTACACAAAATATATTAAAAATTTGGCCACTTATAAGAATAACTTGTTGGTTTAAGAATGCCTGCACTGTATAACGGCTAAAAATAATTGCTTATAATCTTATAACATTTTATAATAATGGTTTTGTAATGACTATGTAACGGCTATGTAATAGCTGTATAATGATTTTGAATATTCAAATTCGAATATTCAGCTATTCAGATATTCGATTCCAACCTCTATTGCCGTCAGAAGTTTCGGTGGTTTCAGTGACATTACCCTAAGTTAATTGAAATAAAAAGTTTAGATTCGGATAAAATATAAATATTTAACCTTCAGATAGAACCTACCTCTGCATCCTCAATTCTTGTAATCGTTGTTCTAACCCCATTAATTATTTGTGTAGAGGTGGATTTTTTAATGAACCCGCCATTACCGGATCCGCTAGAAAACGAATTGGTTGACATCGAAAATGATGAGGATGGAAAGTTTCCAAATCCACCGAAACCAAATGAATCAAATGGTGATCGAAATTGCGGACCGCTACTAAAGCTCGACGTTGATGAAAAATGATGAGAGGCGGGGAAATTACTAAACATACTAGCACTACCGAACATAGGGTCACCTGAAATAAAGAAAAATGTTTATAAGGATAATACAAAATTAACAGACTCTAAATTAATTAGGTAATGTTCGTATTACCAAATATATCATTGTTTGGGAACGCAGAAAAGAATTGTCGAAATATTTCTTGGGGATCGTGAAACTAATAAATCAAGCAATGAGAAGATAAATTTAGTAAATTAGAAGAAATAAAAAAAATCAAAATGAATTCATACTTGGAATGGACGTTGTTCATAAGTGGGACCACCGTTTTTGAGGCCTTCTTCACCATACTGGTTGTATATTCTCCTTTTATCAACTAGTAATATAAAAGCATACGAATTAATTAATTCGTCCTGGCAAATTTAATAGGCATAAAAATTAGCGGAGGATTGTACCGTCGCTTAATACTTCATAGGCCTCTGCGATCAGTTTAAATTTGGCTTCAGCCTCCTCACGATTTTGGACGTTTTTATCGGGATGCCATATCAAAGCTTGAAAAAAGATCGTAAAGGCATTCGTTATAAATGGTAAGAGAAAAACAATACGAGCCAGTAAACATAAATCACAAATACCTTGACGCCTATAAGCCTTACGAATATCATCTTCCGTTGCATTGGCTTCAAGGCCTAAAATTTCATAATAATTTGTCATTTTAACGTTTATTGCTTGAACAAATTTTTAAAATTTTATGTATAGATGTGAAAGAATGTAAAGGATGGCTCAATTGCTCTGTATTAAAATTTTCACGATTTTTCTAGAGGATTCTTTGGAATAATTCTCACGTGTTGGGGTGAGGATCACGTAAACGGAGGTTTATCGTTAGCTCCGTTCCAAAATTTCCTGAAATTGCTCGGAGAATGCTATTATGTCTAATCACTTTTTTTCGAGCAGATATACATATATACGATAAAACGTTTTCGTGTCATGAAATTCAACGTAATAAAATACTTGCCGCACAACTATAATAAAATAACATTCTAGTTCCAAATCCCACAAACTGATGATCTACAGTGGCTTAGCCAATTTAATAAAAAAATTTTTTTATTTTTTATACACTTTAAAGTACTTTTTATTATCGTGATTTTTCACAAGTCTCCAATAAAGTGACAAACAAAATAATGAAAACGAAAGTCCTTCATATAACCTATATACTATTAAATTTAATCAAAAATAATCAGAATATTTACAATTTTTTACTAGTATCAACTTTATAGGAAATAGAAAGTAACACAGATTGAATGAATAAATAAAGGATGAATAATAGGTAAATAATAGAAAAAAAATCTGTCATTATTCTATTTTATATCTGCCAAATAATGGTAATATAACAGCAGCATAACAGCAGAATAACAGTAAAATAATAAGAGGTTTGTTAATATAAGTAATATAATAGTAACATAATAGTAATATAATAATAAAATAATAGAACAGTTCTATTATTTTACTTTGTCTTTATAACTAAAAGTAAAATAATAGAATTGTTTTATTATTTTGTTATTATGTTACTATTATATTACTCATATTGACAAATCTCCTATTATTTATTGTTATTTTGCTATTATGTTGCTATTATGTTGTCATTATTTGGCAGATATAGAGTAGAATAATGGTAGATTTTTTTCTGTTATTTACTTATTATTCATCTTTTATTTATTTGTTCAATTTGTATTAATTGGTTCAAAATTTAAGCAAACAGTATACTGTAAAGATCTACAAAGGTATTTTAATAACAATTTGAAGAAAATAACTAAAAATATTTTGAATAAAGCAGAAACTAATATTATTTTAACTTTATATTATAGAGATTATAAAGATAAGTATATGTGTTTCAATTGTTATAATACAATTGTAATAAATAAAATAAATGTTTTTAAAGAACATGTTGTTAAATAAAAAAAAAGAAATAAAAAAATAAAGAAAAGATATATTTTTTATATTTAAAAGTATTTTTTTGTTAACTAATATTATTTTTGAAAGTGAAATTTTAGAAAATAATTTACTTATTATTTTATTTTTTAAACTTAAATCTGTTACTAAAAACAAATACAATTAATTAAGCTTGTTCTTTAATGAAATTAAAATGATGATTTGTTTAAAAAAAAATAATATAGAACAAAAAGCATTTAATTAGTATTTAATATATTAATATTATTTGATATACTAGAATCAAAATATAATTATACTGTTTTGAAATTTAATAGATAAAGTAATAGATAGTAATAATAATCTTATATAGATAAGTAATATTAATATTTTAACAAAGATTTTATATAATTAAGAAAAGAATAAAAAAGAATCAGCAATGATAATTATTTGAATTAAATTTTCTAAAAAGTTGAACTATAGAAAAATAATATAGTTAATATATTAAACTTTATGAAAACCTTTTTAGAATACTGTATACACATTATTAAATATTGAAATAGAGTTAAAAAAAAGTTGCAGTTTTATAATAACAGTTTAAAGAGCATTCTGAAACTATAGAAGAAGTAGTTAATGAAAACTAAGATTTTTTATTAAGTAAATAACAAAGTTAGATATATTAGTTTTATACAACTATAAAATCTACAAGAAACATTCACAAGGATTAAGAATTTACAAAAACTAAAAAATTAGTTTATCTAGCACTTCTATTTTTTTTTCAAAGAAAATTTTATAAAAATAAGTAATTTTTTTTTTTTTTTTTTAAATATTAACAGTGAAAAAATAAGTAATTTAGTTTATCTTCTTCTAAAAATCAATATATAAAATCACCAAAACAGTTAGCAGTATTTATTTTCTAAATAGGATTGTTGATAATATAAATCAGAAATAAGACAGTAATACAAATACAATTATACACATTTCTTAAGTTGCTAGAAATCTATTAAATACTGCTTTTGAAATAACCAGTATCTTATATTGTTCTTATATAATAAAGTTAAAGTTTTTCTTTCTTTTTAGTTTTTTGTTTAAATAATCTAAATAAATAGAAAAATAGTAGAATAATTTCTATTTAGTATAGTTTATAATTTTTACAAACTTAATACAGACTTATAATTATAATTGTCTAATATCTGTAAATTACAAGTTTTATACTCAACACAAACTTAAATTATGACTATTTGATTTTTTGTAAATTACAAGTTTTATACTTTTCTTTTTTTTCTTATTTATTTTTTTTTTTTCTTTTATTTCTTGTTTTGTATCTTTTATTATTTATCTCTATACTTCTATTTTTTTTTATATATAAAATCTTTTTTTTATTTTTTATTTTTTTTACAAAAAGACATTATTAGATTTGTAATATTTTATTGTAAAGTAATAGTCAGATAAGCAGTCTACCTCTGTTTGAAGTAGTATAGCAGGTTGCACTTAAGTACTAATAAGGTGACTAGGTGCAAGGTTGATAATATATAAGGTCTATTGAGAAAATTATCAATGAATCCAATAAAGTGAATAGAATAATATTCATTGGTTCTATTAACTTTATTAAATCAACCAATTATATTTATATAATATTAATATATTCTAATTTATATAATCACTAATAACTTTTAATCTATTGATCTATTTTGAATAGTTTAACTATTAAAATATTTATTTCATTAAGATGAACATTATGATAGTTAAAACATCCAAAACAGATTAGTAGATCAAAAGTTATCAATACTTTTATAAATTAAAATATATAATATATAATATATATAAAAAAAAACATATAAACCACTCTTTCTGCTAATCACTTGTATACAAAAATTGGCAAAAGCAATTTGAAAGGTTTCATAAAAACAACTGTCTTATTCAACTCTACAGGCTTAAGAAAAAAGATAAAGCTTATGCTAAAGATATAGTAAGTTGAAAAGCAAGTAACTAGGTCACTTAGTAGTAGAGATAGAAGTAGAAAACATTTTACTTGAAATTTGAAAAAGTAAATTTTAAAAAATTTGCTGTGATTTGGAAATGTAGATCTGTTAATCACTATAACATATGAACAAACAAACAAAACAAACATATATTCAAATAGATGCATATACAATCTAATTAGGATAGTAAACAGCATACAAGATAGAAATTTTGAAAACAAGCAAGAAATAAGCAGAAAATACTAATAATAAGCCAAAAGAATGAATATTATATAAAGCCAAAAAGAAAGTCTAATGTCGACTTATATCAAAAGAGCATACTTGACAGTAAATAGCATATACAACAAAGTGTTCTTCAATCAAGCAAACAAAAATTATGCAACACCAGATAGAAAGAATGAGATTGTTGCTATGTTGACCAAACAAAATCCAACAAAGGTTGCTCTATTTTGTATTACAAGAGAAATAATTATACAAGCAGAAAAAGAACTGCCAAAAAAAAGATTAGTATAAGCAAACAAAATAAAAATAAGTTGATAGAAGAGTTTACAACAAGACAAATACAGAGTAAAGAAAAAGAAATACAACAACAAGTTTTAATAATAAACAGAAACTAAGAAAAAGCATATATAACAACACAAAAGATCAAAAATAAGAAAACAAGTAGAAGAAATACACAAAATAATATAGAAAACTTACAAAAAACAGTAAGTATAAAGGTAAGTCAAGTAAGTACTAAACAAGAAGAAAGTAGCACATTTACTGACAAAAAAGATATAGAAGAACAAGAAAAGCAAGAACAGAAAAACACTAAAACATATAGAAGAAACTTAGAACTGAGCCTAGAGATAGAAATAATAGAAGAACAAGTAACAAAAAAATTACAACTGGAAAGAGAAATTGACATAGTTAGAGCACCTTTGAAGAAAAGCATCTAAGCACCTAGTAAAAAAAGCTGCAATTAAAACAACAGCTTAATTGCCAATATATTAGCACACAATGTGCCAGGAAAAACAAAGAAAGAATATATACAATTTATTAGATGATTACTAAGAAACAACTCACATGTTAAAGATATTAAAAAAGTCTTTAAGAGAGGAAACCTATAGATAGAAGTAGACTTTAATTATGAATATGGCAGAAATGATGTGATACAAAGAATCAGCAGAAAAAAAGTAATTAGTACAAAATGATACTAGAAGAAAAAAAAGAAGATAAAAAAGAAAAATATAAAAGAACAGACAAGGAAGATCAGCAAAAGAGAAGCAACTCATCAAAATTGAAAAAAAAGTCAAGTAAAAGTCAATGTGAAACAGATGAGGGTACAAAAACAGAAATTATATAATAATATAGGACTTACTAACAGATATAAACAAAAAAGAACTAGAATATATCTGTAAGAGCTTTGAGAAAGTACATATAGAGAGATGTGGTGACTTAGTAAAGTGGTCAGGTTGTCAACCCTCCAAGTAGTAGGTTAGGTATTCAAATCCCATCAATAACAAAAATTTGGATAATCATCTATGTAATATTCATATTACAGAAACTGTTACTAATGATTGGATTAGGATACTTGTAATGGCAGTCACACTAGCATAACTGATAGGTCATGGGGTATTTGTATAACAGGTCACATAACATTGTTCTTTGGAACAAGGTTGTAGTTATATAAAGGAATGCAAACTGGCAATTAGATAGTATAAACACTAGATAAGTCCTTGTAGTCATGTAAATCTGTTAAAATTGGGTAACAAGAAGTCTATTTTGAAAGACCTAAATAAAGAGGTAGTCAGATATTCGATAGCC